TGATAGATTGTCTGAAGAGGTAAGGAATAGTATTGAACTGGAGGTGATCCCTCATTTTGACCATATAATTCCGCCAAGGAAAGCTTGTCCTATTAGTGGGTTTTCTAGATATCTGTGTGGTAATAATCTAAAGCCGATAAAGGTGGAGCAGTGGTAGTCATGGGTAGGTAAAGTTATGTAGAAATAAATGCTAGTTTATTTAAATGATAATGACACGTATAGGTCTTTACTAATAGATTCAACAAAAAAAAGGCCAAACCATCTCGGCCTTCATATATTCGAAAAAGACTTGCGACTAGGCTAAAGGATGCCCTCAAGGTATGCGTAAGTAGCGGTGAAATGGAGAAGTTAAAATGAATTTACTACTCCATAGAGATGCAAGGGCCCCAGGGCTTACGGTCTCTCTAATGTTCACAAGGATGACATCCCTCTAAGATTAATAGTAAATAATAAAAGAATCGTGTGCATAATCTTCCTTTTTATGCATTTAATTAAGAAACTTTGCTAATTTTTGGTATAATTCAGTTTAAAATTCTTATGGTTTTATGAAATTGATTGATCAGAAAACACTTCATGGAAAGATAAGCTAGTAGGTTTTGATGTTGTGTCAATGTACACAAACATTCCTGTCCAATGAGCTATGAAAGCTCTGATACAAACTCTGGAGAAGCATCCAGAAGTAACACAAGGAATAAGGCTGAGTGTAACTTCCATTATTAGACTTATTAACCTATCCACGAGTAGCACATATTTTACCATCGATGGTAAGGTATACGAACAAACACAAGGACTAGCGATGGGATCTGGCCTGGCTACGATCTTGGCGAACAATTATATGGCAAGACTGGAGAAACACTTTCTGCAAGAGGTAATACTAACCCCCAAATTGTTGATTAGATATATGGCTGACTATTTTGTCATCTGACCTCATGGTAAGGAAAGTTTAGATAGTTTCCTACTTTCACTCAACCAGCGTGAAAGGAGCATTGGGTTCACAATGGAAATGGAATACAATAAGCCCTTACCCTTTCTGAATGTTCTCATCATTACAGAAAAGAGTAAGTTAGGAAGAGATGTTTATAGGAAGCTTTATTTTCTTTTCAATCATAGTTACAAGACTAAGGTCTTAATTTTGAGGAGGATAGCTAGAGGATAGCAAACATTTGGCTAAATAGTTGGAACGGCTGACAAATGTATTTCTGGAAAATAATTATCATTTGGACCTTATTGAGAATAATATCTCTTTACTGAGGAATACATTTTCAGAAGGAGAGCATTTAGTAAAAGAGAGATAGACTGAAACCTTTTCCCATGTCCTAATTTTGTCGTCATGCCTTCTTTCAAAAAATATAGGAGGATTGGTAAGAAAGTGGAGGATAAAAACATTTTTCAAATAAATCTGCACACTTTCTTTTGCTATGTCATCTTTTAGAGAGAAATATGACCCATTATCGTAATCCGGCTGCTACAAGATTGTTTGCTTTTGTGGTCAATCTTATGTTGGTGACAAATGCCAACCTATTCGACAACGATTTGGAGAACACAAAAATGATTGTAAAAGAAGCTGGGTCCAACGGTCAGAAGTGGCTGAACACGTGGTAGAAACTGGGCATGAAATAGAATGGTCTCAATCTAATGGGTTTGCTGATTATGGTATTTCTGCGATTAAAAGATAGATAAGGAAGGCTATTGAAATTAATAGCCTAGGATATACGTTGAATGTGAGGAATGGTGGTATAAAGTTGAGTACAATCTACTTATGCTTGATTGATAGATTGAAGGAGAGAGAGGATTTTGAGCCGTCATCCAAAAGAAGACGACTCAATTAGTCTGCTCGGTAATGGATCTAACTTTACTCACACTCGTCCAACATTTTAGATTAAGCTCATCAACCAAACCAGACGTACAGATTACGCAGCCACAATCATGCCTTTCCTTGGGGGGTTAAACGTTAATGACCCTAGACGGAGAGGTTAGGACAAGTGGTTTCATATCTTGAATTACATGCTTACAAGCTCATATCTCATTATCTTAACCATACTTGCTTACGGACTTACGCAGTTTGGCCAGGGCTTTCTCTTTGGTCATTCGGCCTTGATGATCAGAGCCTTTTAACCAGTATTGTTTATAGACGCTAGCACACACATACACACACATACACACTCGATCAAAAGTAGCAGGATCAGCATGAAAAATAATTAGCCAAATCACTATATATCTATCTAGGTTTTTAATTTTGTTTTGCTTAATTGAGTCTATATAAGATTGAGCCGGATAGTCTTCTTGCCCTAGTATTAACGTTATACTTTTACAGGAATGAGACCAGGCTCTGATGATGTCCATCGTAAGATGGGCGGAAGCGCAGCCTTTTTTCACTTGAAACGATGGCGTAGGTCTCATGGACTGCGTAAATCTGAACGCCGTATAAAAGCCAAACGGCTGCAGTACAACGGGATTCATCCGTCCTCTTTTGATGAGATTGACCTACGAATCTCTTCTTCATGCACGTTCATACGAAATGAAAGTCCCCCAACAATGTTATATCAGG